TGTCACCAAGGGGGAGCATGTAGAGGTTGAAAAGGAGGGGAACGAGGACAGAGCCCAAAGAAACACCGTACAAGACTATGCGGGGGCTGGAAGAGAAACCGTTGGTGGAGACAAATTGGAGATGGTGTGAGAGGTAAGACCTGAACCATTCAAGGACAGAACCCTTAAAGTTGAGGTGAGGAGAGACAGTGGGTGGATTGGTCCACGGTATCGAAGGCAGCAGAGAGGACGATGAGGAAGAGGGAGCCCTGGTCACAGATGGACAGTTAGGAATGTGCATCATATTGTTCATAGGTAAAGAAATAAGCAAGTTTAGAGTAAACTGAATTTTTTTTTTTGATGATATTGTTATTCCTCTATGTAAACAAAATAGAAATTGTAACTTCATCTGTTTTACTTAGAACAGCAATTTAAATTATCTAGAAGCAAAACCCAATACAATAATAGGCTGGGTAGATGTCTGTTCACAATGAATCTACAAACAGTTGAATGCTGATTGAAGCCTTTCACCCTTAAGGATTTAAAGAATTGCTGCATGAATTGGCAAACAGATGTTTCCAATCTAATTTCCGAATTATACACAAAGGAACATGTTCTTCAACATTAGTTTTCACTTGCGGTAGATTTTAATAGGAAAATGTAGGAAAACACTAGTATCTTTATATTTCAAAAAGAAAAAAAAACAGATGCTTGTTTATTTGGAAAATGTGATGAAACAACTATATAATTATAATGTGCATCACTTCAGTCAAAGAGCAGCTGTTTCCAGTCCCAGATTCATGTGCCTCATCAGAATGTTAGTGACTTTTCTTATGTGACTAAAATTAAACTTTTATTCTATTATGTGTCAATGTTTCATCAATTTATCACAATATACACACACTATCATGAAGTGGAGTCCTGTAGATCAGTGGTGAGAGCACTCACCTCGCAACAGGAGACCTGGGTTTGATTCCCAGCAGTGTGAAACCTTGGGCAAGTTTCCTTACGCCTGATAATAATCCCTCAAGAAAAAAAAATAATAAATTGATCACTTCAATCCACAACTGTTTGTGGGACACTACTGTGTCCAATTGGCTGCCACGTTTCGCTCACAAATATGCAGTCAATTCGCTTTTCGGTATATTCTGTGAAGTGCTTTGAGAAGTCTAGAAGGCGTGAAAAACGCTATATCAAATGCAAGGATTATTATGTATTATAAGTAGTAGCATGTCTAGAGCAGATGGGTTATTATTGTTTTATAAATACATAATTTCTCTTGAAAATCAGTTGTGTTGAATAAGGAATGTAACAACAGTTTAAAGTTTCAATGATAAATCAAGCTTGGAATTTTTTTTTCTTGGGGTTTTGTGTTGTGTTTCATGAGCTTCAAATCTCACTTCTGCTATCTCTGAAATCTCTGGCTCTGAAGTGTATAGGCATCTAATGCATCAAAGGTTTTATCTAGAAAACATTTAAGAGTGAAAAGTGCCGTCCCATTTAAAGAAACCTTGCCTATTAGGACACTAGAAAATCCAGTGGGCATTTAGGACTCTAAAAATGAGAGTCAGACATTCAACCCATTGAGCCTGCCCTTGTGTTTCATCAGTTCATGACAGCAATTTAACATTTTAATCAATTTCTCAGCTTTTTTATGTTTCTTAATATACACCTATCTCCCATTCCAATCCTTCAATTGAGACTGTATCTTGGGCAGTGTATTCCTTATTTTAATACTTTGCATAACAAAATGGGTTTGTATTCACTTTTTACCACCTTTATTTTGGTTTGGATTCCCCTGTCGGAGAGATGTTTCCTAACAACTAGTCAATTCTCTATATTTTAACTCCCCAATCAGACGCTCTAAAATTTTGCAGCTCAGATTAATATAGCCTGTTTATCCAGCTTCTTATCTTTGGTAAGTCCTTCATCCAGGCTATCTTCCTGGGGTATGTTCATTGAACTTCCAAGCCCAGTATATTTTTCCTAAAGCAGCTCATATATATTTTAAACCTCCACATTACGGTTCATTTTTAGACTGACCAGCAAAGTCAGAACTTTGGATTGATGTAGAAGTCATCTTTAAAATTTCTAACACAACATTCCCTTCCCATCTTATAAATTATTAGAATTCAGTTTAGCAGATTTGTTTTCACTTCAGTTGGGATCATAATTTTTATCACTAAAATATTTTCAAGAAAGAAAGCCAGGCGATAGATGTTCCTTTATGTATGTAGAAAGGGAAATTGTATCATCACTTTGACTTGTGCAGTGTACCCTTCTCTCATCAAAAGTTGTTCACTTAGGTTGCTATAAGGGGAAACCTGTTTGAATTCTGCCAATTTTTTTTAAGGATGTGAAAGGCTCAATTTTCACCTCAGTACCCTTTCATCTCTGCAGCCGTTCATTGAATTTGCCAATTACACAGCAATGTTGACACTCATTGAGTGACCCATAATTCAGACTGTGCTCTCTTCCTGCTAGCAGTGGTTAATGTGGGAGAAATAGAGCAAAGAAAGATTAAAGATGCAATAAAATAGTTTCAGACAGGAGTAAACCATTGGTACTCATCCATTTTCCCTCAGGTTTCATTAGGTATATCTATCTCTAAATCTAACCTAAAAATTGCTGAATAAAATTTTTCAGTTTTTTTTGACCACTTCCCCCAGTAGATGAAATTATCCTTCGCAAATAATTTCAGTGGAAGACGACAAACCTTTTGAATAGATGCATTCATGTATTTAAAAAGACATATCGTAATCCTTAAATATAATACAGAACGGGAGGAAGTTTCAAAATCCTTCATCGGGTATACTGTAAACTGTAAGGACTCTGTATTTTGTAGGCAAACAAGTGAATTGAATTCCCGATTTTATTTGGGAAATTGTTCACTCAGGCACTAAGAGAAACTCCCTTCTCTTTTCAAAGATTTCTGTGGGATCTTCAACATGTACCTAGTTTAACATCTCATCTGAAGGACTGCACATCTGACAATCCAGCACACTCCCAGCACTGCGCTGAAGTCAGCCGAGACTGTATGAGTTCAAAGTCTCGACATGGTTGCTTGAATTCACAACATGGAAGCGAGAATGCTGAGCCAGGCTTATGTATGCATGTAAAATATGCTTAAGAAAAACCTGTTTGACTATGCCTTCGGTCATCTTTCCCCTACCCACCCCCTCGACTTCCACTCCGAGCTAAGGTGCCCAGCTGGCATTGTTGAACATTTTAGAACGTCCACCCAATGTGAAAGGCGTTATATAACTGTGAAATTATATTTGTTGAAGTTGTATATGCCCTGAATTGGCCTGGGCCTGGGTTCTGCTGTCCAGAAGAAATAGACATCGAGGACTACTCTTTTTTTCTGTGGATGTTGAGGCCTGTTTACTGGTACTTGACAATAGGTCAACATTTGTGGTTACAGTGGCCTAAATTGATATCTTTTTCTGTAGTAATAGGATCAACCTTTATCTGAGTGTATTTACACGATTGGACTTACTAGCAAAGAAATAGGACAATTGAATGGTGGATCATTAACCCTTTTGTGATTCAGCGCACCTTTTCTGTACGTCACAGAATTGCTTGATGTAAGTTCCAGCTGGGCAAGTGTTCATCTTGTAAATGTCCCCTCACCATCAGGTTAAAGCAAATACTGGTAGAGGCACCATTCCATTTCAACATACAGCAAATGTTTAATGTTAGCTTCACAGGTTGCTGATTTCCCTCATGTTAATACAGAAAAAGCTTTCTAAAAGCCACATGATCTTTGCTACTGTGTTTGAACAAACCTATTTTAGAGGATTAACACTTCTTAATGACCCTAATCCCCCTTCAGAAGTGATTTTTTTTTACATTCTGCTGAATTCTTGAATTTTATTAGCAATAATGGGTTACAATTCCAAGGTTGGTATGCATTTCCAAATTAGCAGAATGCTTGCATCTAAAATGAGTTCCGGCAGCGACATTTACTAAAACTATTTAAAGAGCCAGCAACATGTAATTCTAACAGAGAGGAGGTTTTAAAATAAAGGTTTGATGTGCTGGTTTCAAAAAGGGCTATCTTTTCTGTTCAGGTGGCTCTGGAACAAAGATATTTGGGGGATTTGCTACATTTTTACCTACAGTTGTCTGTTCAGTAAATTGCAGTATATGGTAACCTGTCTGGTAGTTAAAAGAATGAATTGATGTATTCCCACCAATTGAGATTATTTTGCAGATATGCCACTTTAATTTAATCATACTGAAAGACAAAGCATGGTGAAGTATGTTTTGCTCAAAGAACTTTCTGATTTTACAAAAGAATTCTGACATATATTAAAAAAGTCTAGTTTCCTACTGGTATGGAGATCTTGGGTTGAGTCTTTCTCCCTGCTGGGTTACTCTGGTAATATCATTGGCGAGATATGTTCCTGTGCTTCCTGCAACAGTCCATAGGAAACAGCGGTGCCGTGACTTCAGACAGGCCTGGGGGCCGAGCCTGAGCTCCAGGAAACCATACTACCAGCTGGGAAATCTACATTCTAAGTATATAGAATGGTTTCCTGGTTCCCCAGTTCCCTGCAGATTTGGATTGGTACTCAGACTAGTTTGAAATTGTGGGGCTACTGTTTCCTTTGGATTTGCTTTGACAAGTGTCTCTGACAGCACAGGAGGGATTTAGGTACCTCTCAAACCTGCTTATTCCATGGTCGGAGATGCTGCCCCATGTGAAGGGTGCTATGTAAATGCAAGTTGCTGCTGTTATTGTTGTTACTTATTTCTCCTGTCTAAATATTTGTGCAAAAGTTACAAAATCGTAATTAATTTCAATAATGATTCCTAAATTCATATCAATAAACTGTTTATGGGGTCATTCTGGTAGGATTTTTAAAAATACAATGAGTTTTAATAATTTGCTCACACAGCCATATGGCTTTGAGAAAAAGGTGTGAGTGTTGAGCTACAATGTTCTAAATAGGGATTGTCTGTCCTTATTCTAGAAATGCACTGGGAATTGAGTTTTTTAAATCTTTTCTTTGCAGATGGTGACGATGACCCACAAGTCTCATGGGTAGCCTCATCTCCCTCCAGCAAAGATGTCGCATCTCCCTCTCAGATGTTAGGAGAGGGGTGTGACCTCAGCCTAGTGGATGAAGAAGGAGGGACGGGTTTGCCTTACCCTTGCCAGTTCTGTGATAAATCATTCAGCCGTTTGAGTTACCTTAAGCGACACGAGCAGATCCACAGTGACAAACTTCCCTTCAAGTGTACGTTTTGTAGTCGTCTGTTCAAACACAAGCGAAGCCGTGACCGCCACATCAAGCTTCACACAGGAGACAAGAAGTATCATTGTCACGAGTGCGAAGCAGCTTTTTCACGCAGTGATCACCTCAAAATCCACCTGAAAACTCACAGTTCCAGCAAGCCGTTCAAGTGCACCATTTGCAAGCGCGGCTTCTCGTCCACTAGCTCGTTGCAAAGTCATATGCAAGCTCACAAGAAGAACAAGGATCACGTTGCCAAGGTTGAGAAGGAGTTGAAGAAAGAGGATTTTGTTTGCGATTACTGTGATGACACTTTCAATCAAGTTGAAAACTTGGAGAAACATATGGCCACAAATCACCCACAGATTTGTGAGAAAGCAGAATTGCAGTGCATCCATTGCCCTGAAGCATTTGCAGAAGAAAATGCATTGATTAATCACATAGATCTTGTTCATGGGAATAAGAAACATAAGTGTCCAATGTGTCCCGAGCAGTTTCCTACTGTGGAAGAAGTCTATTGTCATCTCGATACCCATAGACAACCAGATTCGAGTAACCATAGCATCAGTCCTGACCATGTTACAGGAAGTGCAGCATCCATGAGCAGCACTACTCCGGATTCCAGTGCTTCAGTTGAAAGAGGTTCAACACCTGACTCTACACTAAAGCCATCCAGAAGTCAGAGAAAGCCTTCTGGATCCTTGGAAAGAGAAGGAAGTCAGAATTCCTGGTCACCAAAAGTTACCTACAGTTGTCCATATTGTTCTAAGCGTGATTTTAGTAGTTTGGCTGTTCTAGAAATTCACTTAAAGACGATTCACTCAGATAAACCTCAGCAAAGCCACACATGCCAGTTCTGCCTTGATTCACTCCCCACTTTATATAACTTAAATGAGCATGTCCGGAAATTACACAAAAATAATGTTTTTCCAGTAATGCAGTTTACTACAACTTCTACTTTTCACTGCAATTACTGCCCAGAGATGTTTGCAGATCTAAACAGTTTGCAAGAACACATCAGAGTTACGCATTGTATTCCAAATACACTCACTCAAGATGGAAACCATGCTTTCTTCTGTTCTCATTGCTCAATGGGGTTCCTTACAGAATCTTCACTTGCGGAACACATTCAGCAAGTTCATTGCAATGTGGGAAACTCAAAGCTGGAGTCTCCTGTAATACAGGCTACACAGTCTTTCATGGAGGTTTATTCTTGTCCTTATTGCACCAACTCCCCAATTTTTGGCACTATCCTGAAGCTGACAAAGCACATCAAGGAAAACCATAAGAATATTCCACTTGCAAACAATGGCCGGAAATCCAAGTCAGAGCAAAGTCCCGTTTCTTCCGACGCAGAAGTCTCCTCACCAAAGAGACAGAGACTGTCAGCAAGTGCAGCTGCACTATCAAATGGCGAGTACCCATGCAACCAATGTGATCTCAAGTTCTCCTCTTTTGAAAGTTTTCAAAGCCACCTGAAATCACATTTGGAAATTCTTTTAAGGAAGCAGTCCTGTCCTCAATGTAAAGAGGATTTTGATTCTCAAGAGACCCTTTTGCAACATCTCACCATACACTATATGACAACTTCTACGCATTATGTATGCGAGAGCTGTGACAAGCAATTTTCGTCAGTCGATGACCTACAGAAGCATTTGCTAGATATGCATACTTTTGTGCTCTATCACTGCACATTGTGCCAAGAAGTCTTTGATTCCAAGGTCTCTATTCAAGTGCATTTGGCAGTGAAGCACAGCAATGAAAAGAAAATGTATCGCTGTACAGCCTGTAACTGGGATTTCCGAAAGGAGGTAGACCTTCAGCTTCATGTGAAGCATAGCCATTTGGGTAATCCAGCCAAAGGCCGCAAATGCATATTCTGTGGTGAGACCTTCAGTACAGAGGTGGAATTGCAATGCCATATCACAACACACAGCAAAAAGTACAATTGTAAGTTCTGCAGCAAGGCCTTCCATGCTATTATATTGCTAGAAAAGCACTTGCGAGAAAAGCATTGTGTGTTTGATACCACAAGCCAAAATGGTACTGCCAATGGCATTGCATCATCTAATAAAAGAGTGGAGACAGATCTGCAGAACATTCTGATGAAGAGCCAAGAGGCTCTGAACAGCCATGAAGCTAGTGAGGATGACATTGATGCCTCGGAGCCCATGTACGCCTGTGATATCTGTGGTGCTGCGTACACTATGGAAGTTCTACTTCAGAATCATAGGTTGAGGGATCACAACATACGCCCTGGAGAAGATGATAGTTCACGGAAAAAAGCAGAGTTGATCAAAGGAACTCATAAATGCAACATCTGTGCAAGGACGTTTTTCTCCGAGAATGGACTTCGAGAGCACATGCAGACCCACCGTGGACCAGCCAAACACTACATGTGTCCTATCTGTGGTGAGAGGTTCCCTTCACTTCTAACCCTGACTGAGCACAAGGTGACACACAGCAAAAGTTTAGATACAGGAACTTGCAGGATCTGCAAGATGCCACTGCAAAGTGAAGAAGAATTCATTGAGCACTGCCAGATGCATCCAGACCTGAGAAACTCCCTTACAGGGTTCCGTTGTGTGGTCTGCATGCAGACAGTCACCTCCACGCTTGAATTGAAAATTCATGGAACATTTCACATGCAAAAATTGGCAGGAAATTCTTCATCCTCGTCTCCAAATAATCAGGCTCTTCAGAGACTCTACAAGTGTGCTTTATGCCTGAAGGAGTTCAGGAGCAAACAGGACTTGGTGAAACTTGATGTCAATGGCCTACCTTATGGCTTATGTGCAGGTTGCATGAACAGAAGTACGAATGGTCAGTCTTCCAATGTACCTCAGCAGGAAAGCAGTGAAAGAGCCAGTGCCAGCCTCCGATGTCCTGAGTGTGCTGTGAAGTTTGAAACTGTGGAAGATCTGGAGAATCATATCCAGATGGACCACAGGGAAATGACACCAGAGACGAGCAGCCAGAAAAAGTCATCGCAAGCATCACCAGCTCCCAGGGTAAGCAAACACTGCAGAAAAAAAGACAATATGAACAACAGATTTGTCTTGAATTTTCAATACTTTGTGGATAAATAAACTAGTACATATTTTTAAAAAAATCTTTTTATTAAATTGATTTCATCATACTGTAGAATATATGTTTATGAGATCCTAGGTTTTAATCTTGATTGTCACATGAGAGATACAGATGAAAGTCTGGTGATAATTTCATATTGTTTTCAATTACTGCCTTGACTTCATTTAGCTTGTCTATGTTACATTTCTAAATTGTATAAAATTAATTAAGGATGACATACTAAACATTACAATTCTTTATTGCAATTGTGTGATAGAAGAAGACCTATCAGTGCATCAAGTGCCAGATGACTTTTGAGACTGAGCGGGAAATTCAGATCCATGTTGCAAATCACATGATTGGTAAGATAAAAGTTTTTTTTTTAAAAATTACGCAGTGTCATTTGCGTTTTCTTTAAGCTAATTGTTAAATTATACATCATTGGCAGTACAGAGGTTAATTTCAATTACTGAGTTACCAGCTGTAACCAAGCTCTTTCATTGTGACAACTGATGCATGTTTGTTAAAGGATCTACAGAACTAGTTGAAAGGGAACGTTTAATTAAGGGTTTATTTTATTAAATTTAACAATTTTTTAAATTGAAGTCAAAATATAATTTTTAAATCATATGGTAGCCTAAGAGGTGAAAAATAAATGTTAATGTTTGCTTATGGTACATTCACTGCATTGTGTGGTACTGAGCTGAACAGACCAAGATCTCAGACAAGATACAGTAAAACCGTAATAAAAGGCATAATTGAAGGATGAGTTACTTAAGATGGGAGTGGTACTGTATCCTGTGGATCAATACTTGATCAGTTGTTGCTTTCAGGAGAAAAAAGGCAGAGAAGTATTGGGTGAAATAGATTTATGATAAGATTGAGAAATTATATACAGTAAAACTCACATACATTGTATCAGTCGGTACTATAACATTTAGTATGATTTATACGAAATCCAAGTTGCAGGCAAACTGTATAAGTCGTATAAAATCCGATTTAATCAATAATCTACAATGCTCATGCTTAATTAAGTACAACCGGTAAGTGCGTATGCGGTGACTGCTCAAGACTATGTTTCCATGTTTCAATTTAGCGGGCCGGTAAGTGTGCATGCGTCAGCGGGTCATGTCATCATTTCTCACGATTCAATGCAATGTATTTTTAAATCATGGCTGGTAGTGACATCATCATGGAACAGGTTTGAAATGTTATTTAGTGTGATACTGTTAAAATTCCGGAAGCTGAAACATCGCAAATGAACAATTTTGTGTCTGTTGATGTTAGTTTAACTCCTTCACCCTGTCGTGCTCTGCAACTCTCTCCATCAGCTCTTCAGAAGACGTCATCACCACTTGCTGTTTAAAGCTAAATCTGTGTTTTTTTTAAATCAACAGATAGGAATGAAAAATAATGCGTTCGTGATTATTTTTGAAAAGAAATCCAAATGGAAGAGCTTGTCTAAACAATTTCAGCAGCATGCTTCAAATGAAAAGAACGAGGTTCTCTATCAAATTGTCACAAAATTCTAACTTAATGGGAGGCAACTGTTAATGTGTCTCAGCCTTCTCTTGTTTGTGTTGCATGCTTTCCACTGCTGGTCAGAGGCAGCCAGGGAGCAGACATTTTGTGGAGAAGCTCCTCCCCAGTGACATGAAGCGACGCTGAAGCTGTGGGCAGCACACTCTATTCATGTTGTTGCTAGAGAAAGAGGCATTTCTAAGCAGAATGCAAGGTTGCTTCTGATCAGCCTTTTGAAAACAATAAAACAGGAGCCAGGAATGACTAAATGACAAAATAAGTGTTCATAAATCCTCCATTTTATAACATTATGATTTTTTTTAGCCATTCTATACATATCCCTCTTAAACCAAAGGCATTAACCAGTTCTCCACAGGTATTTAAATTTTTGTTTGCTTTGATGGTAGAACTGGATCCCGATAAATATATTACTAATCTATAGAGGAATAATGTCTGAAGTAAGTGTGATTATGGTCATTGGAATTTATGCTTGAATTTTATGAAGAATGTGTTGATCCAAGTTCCATATACTATATACAGCAAAATATAATCAATTTGATACGTGTGACATTTACTACAACTGGAATTTTGTTGTGTTTCAAGCATTCATTTAAATAATAATAATAATAATCCTTGCATTTGATATAGTGCTTTTCACGTCTTCTGGGCGTCTCAAAGCGCTTCACAGAATATACTGTAAAGTGAATTGACTGTATATTTTGTGGGCGTAATGTGGCAGCCAATTGCGTACAGCAGTGTCCCACAAACAGTCTTGGATTGAGTGACCAAATTATTATTTTTTTCTTGAGGCGTGTGAAGTAAGGAATCTTATTCAAGGTTTCGACCTGCTGGGAATCAAACTCAGGTCTCTCGCTTGCGAGGCGAGTGCTCTAACCATTGAGCTACAGGACACCTAGACCTTGAAAGTAAACCAATGTTTGAAGCCTACAGAGAAAACTGACTGAAATCTGCAAATGATGTGAATTTCCAAATAGCGGCAGCATATTCATGGGAGAATGGTGAGGCTGTGGGTCAGATGAAATTATAGTTCAGACATATTTCAAAAATATAATTTGTTATCTTTTATGTTAAAGGGTGTTTAAATCTTGAGTTAATTTTGTTTCTTGTTGCAGTGGATTCTTGTTTTTGCCTGGATCAGTTCGTCGCTTGTGTTGGAAGCTACGTGCAGATGATTGCTTCTACGCTCAGATAGTTTTCTGTGTTTTGTTTTTGGATGTGGTCATCTTCTCCACTTGTTAACATGGTTTATAACAAATGGTTTGGTTTTATGGTTTGTAACAAATCATGCTAGCAAAATAATTCAGCTGCTTCACAGTATTAGATGACTATTCACTGGCAACAACTTGTTTGCAACAGGATCTGGTTGGAGACAGGGTGGCAGCTCAGGGGGTGTCATAGGCTCCACTATTAAACATGAGGACGTCCACAAATGATAGCCACCTGATCTCACCGAATCAGTTGTATACTCGGTAACGGAATCCCCATGACATAATGGAGGCAATCGCACATACACAGCTCTTGAAAGACTTTGGCCTTCATAGAGTCTAACCGTTTGATGAGTGCTCTTATTTCATAATGGGGGGGAGAGGGAAGTTGATTGACTCTGCAATGCATCATAGTGGTTTCTCTTTGACAATTGTATTCCATGATATTCAGCAAAAGTAATAAATACTACAGGAAACCAATTAAGTCAAGTACTTATATAAAATATTTTGCAAAAAGTGGGGCCATACTTTTGAAAGTAATTAGGTCTGTTTTCCCTACACCCAGCAACTGTATTACTAACTGAGAGGCCAGGTACGCAATGTATTTTTTAAGCAGCTGCCAATCGTGTTGTAATGTGGCTGTTAGGAGATATACCCTTCATAAAAAATGTATGTATGTTTCCGCTCTTACCTCTCGGGAAGGACTTGACTCCATTTGGCATCTCACCCTTGTTGAGCGTGAGAATGTCCTGTCAGGAGAGTTGCACTGCAATACCAGGCTACTGCAGGGATTTAACTTGAATTTGTTCTCTGCCTTTATTACTTTCCCATCAAACTGCTTGTTTTAAGAATCATCGTTGAACAGAATGAATCATGGCTTTGCATGACTGTAAAGGTGGGCAAACCAGGGTCCTTTATTTTACACTTATCTTCACTTGTCTGAACATGTTTGCTAAAAGTGGTTAGGTGATACATTTTCTCTGGTCAAGCTGAGCTAAAGTTTTATTTTCAATATAGCATGAACAATTTTTCATTTATATAAAGTGTAATAATTTTAGACAATCAGTCTGCTTGTCCTGAATAATTATTTTCTTTGAATGTATTTTGTACCATGTTGCAAGTCCTTGTTGTGTGAATAGCAACACATTAAATATATTAAAACAAAGGTAAGATAATGTTCAAGGAATGTAGGGTTCACATTGTTGTCAGTTGTGTCTACTATTAAATTTAGTTTCCCACTAGACATCTCAGAATACCAATAGTAGCTGATGGAGTTGGATGTGAAGAATGAAGCGAATTGAAATAATAATATCATTTTTTTTTCATTTGTTTGTCTTTACCTATCTTGGGTAACTTGAGCAATCCACCCCCATTCCACAACCAATGATCTCTTTGCACGAGCAGGTTCAGCGCAGGGAATGGGCACAAAATTTGTGTTTAAACTATTTTATGGTTAAACCCAAACTCGTAAAGTAATTTGGGACAAAGTTTTTTTGAACATTCTCACGCAGCAGGAATAGAATGCAGTTGGATTTAAATTGTGGCTTGGGTTAACTATATGTATAGAGGGAATTGCATGTGACATTAATTATTGTAATTAACAAACCAACGAAAAGAATATACAATCACTGGAGTTATAAATTAATTGCTATCAACATCTCCATTATTGTAGTATGCGACTACCAGAAGGTGAACTAGATGGACCTTGGTCTTTTTTTTTCGTCCAGCAATTCTTATGTTCCTATAAGTTTGGCCACCTTATTTATTACAGAAAGAGGCACTGTCTTAGAGTGGTTAGAGCAGAGATTCACTCTCACAGGCTCGGAGTGGAGATCCAAATTTTCCTCATGGAGAACATTCTAATGCGTGATTCCATAAGAATATAAACTAATATGTGGGCAGTTTGAATGTGTTGTTTGTGGCATTTACATGTGGATTAATTCTTACCATTTTATAAATGATTATTCTTTGACGTGACTGTGAATAGAGATGTGTAATTTTGCAATTTAGTATTGGCTTTGTATTTTGACTTGGCAGATTCTTGGTTTGTAAATCAAGTCAGTTTAGTTTAATAATACTGGGTTCACGTGTAATGATTTTCTGTGCTGTAGTAGTTAATAATTATCCAAGTTAAAAAGTCTGTTTTGTTGTAGGTTTGTTTGAGTCTTGTAAGTAATCTCATCCTTTTATTATTCATTACATTCTTTTAATTCCAAGTTAAGAAAAATGAAGCTAGTCAAATAGATATTAATCTTAATCTTAGAATCCTGGCAGAAACTGAGCCCATTTCCTCAAAAGATCTGAAGACTGTGTGTGTGTGTGTGTGTGTGTGTGTGTTTGCTGCACGTAAGAGTTGGGAAAGGAAAATCAGGTGGTGAAGAACAGAAATGCTTAAAGGGACAGAGATTCCATGTAATTTCCCTTGTGGGATTGTTCTTGTTACCCATAGTATGTGTAGGGTAGTTTAATTTGAAGGATGAGGGACAATACCTAAAGCAGAGTAATTTACCACTGAAGATTGAGGTGATTAAACACATCTTAAGAAAACTATGGTTTTGAGTAAAGCAGGGTAGCACAGCTCATTGGAGAAATACAGTGCAGAACTAGAGGAGTAA